AAAAAAAAAAAAAAAAAAAAAAAAAAGCAGAAACTGACACACCATTGTAAAGCAATTATACTCTAATAAAGATGTTAAAATAAATAAAAATAAAAAGAAGTGTCCCACAGAGTGTCCTACAGAGTGAAAGGAACACTGAGCCCAGCTCTCACACCCCGAGGCCCCAGAGTTTTCTCTTATTTGCACTGCTGCTCCTGCAATGATCTCAAGGATGAGCGGATTTGGAAGGGAAGGACCTGGAAGTTTCTTTCCTCTTTTCTTTTGCTCCCCACCAAGCCACCTTCACTGTCCACCTCACCACTGAGTGAAGCTGGCATCTAAACCGTGAGCAGAGCCCATATCTACCTCTTCCCCTTATCAGGAGGCTGCAGGATTGGGTGGAGGATGCCCAACAGCTCTGTCACCTGCTGAGTCCAGAACTGCCTCCTGGATACCTCGCCCACTCCTGGATCACACTGAAGATGAGGACAGCAGCCACCCACCTGCTCTGCACATGCCACCTTCTCTCCTCGAGGGTGTGCTTCCCGAGAACAGGGTGCAAGAGAGGGAGGAAACTCTAACTCATATTTGCTGACATAAATTACCTCAAGTGGTAGGTGATTTAACTCAACGGCCCCTGAGGTGGGCATTATGATCTCAGTTTTTTAGACGAAGGGCCCAAGGCTTGGAGAGACAGCAGGGAAGCTGGGACCCCAACCCAGGACTTCTAAGCTCCTGGCACTTTCTGTCATAGACTGCTGGCCTCTCCCATCCCTGGGAGATCCCTTCAGAAAACAGGACCCTGACTCCTGGGCCCAAACACAGCTGCCCAGGCCAGCCCTGCCCTCCCCTGGGTAAGGAGGATCTTGACCCCAGGCCAAGGTGCTTGTTACCTGCACTCCAGGGATGCCATGGGTCTTCTTAAGTGACTCACACAATACAGGAACTGTTACCTGATCCTGTGATTGGAACTCAAGAACTAGAAAAGGGATGGAAACATCCTACCAACGCAGAGTGTCCAGAGAATTCCAGGTCTCAGCTGGGAGTTTTCTGAGAACGTGCCTTATATTCAGCGCACTCACCAACTGCCCCAGGGTTCAAGTTACAAAGAACATGTCAGGCAGGCACTGTGATGGGTACTTCATATTCATGATTGAATTTTATTCTCCCCAAATCCCTAGGAGGTAGAAACTATCCCTGTCTGTTTTAGTTGAGGTAGTGGGGCTCAGAGACATGAATATGCAGCTGGTAATAGGCAGGGCAGGGGTTTAAATCCAAGTGCCAGACCCCCAGCATGGGGCTCTGGGTGGTCCCTCTCCTAAGCCTTTGCTCAATGAAGTCCCCCATCCTGGAAGGGCCACCTGCCTCTGATATGAATTCTTTTCTTTTTAATTTTTTGTGGGTCTATATTAATTATATGTCTAATTTTTGGAAAAGGTGATACAAAGAGGCGGCATAAAATTTGAAAGGTACAGGCGAGGGCATCGTGGGCTCAGGTTTTATTTGTCAAAATTAGAAAAGGGGCCCCATCCTCCGGCAGACACAACCCCACATCAGAGAGCAAAGGGCCATTCAGTCAACAGGAGTGATGTTCTCTGTCCCCTTTGCCTCCCCCCAAGCCCACCTCAGAGGCAGCCCTGTCTCCAATTTCCACAAAGTCTTTGACAGTGATGATGATGTTGTTTAAATTAATTATATATTTCAAGGGAGACGGGTAGGAGTAAAGTGCAAGAGGCCACTGAAGGAATATAAAATTCCTCTTCCTACCCTGATAACCAGGACCACCTTACAGAGTTGTCTTTCTCAAGCCACTGAAGAATTTTTGTCATAAAGCATTTTTAAAATTTACTTTTGTCAAAATAATACACAGAGCTTGAATAAGCATTAGGTATCCCTGGAAGTTTATACAAGACAGTAACCATATTAGCTTCCCCTGGGAGGGGAGTGAAATAGCTGGGAAAAGATATTTCACAATAAATCCCTTTTTTTTTTTTCAGCCAGCCGCTTGGCATGCAGTTAGTTTGGCAGTTAGTTCCCCAACCCAGGATCGAACCCATGGCCCTTGCAGTGGAAGCGTGGGGTCTTAACCACTGGACCGCCAGGGAAGTCCCCACATTTGATCATTTGATCATGCCATTCTCCTACTCAGCAACCTTCAGCTTTCCAACTTCACTTCCCATTATTCCCAGCCAGCATCTTATATTTCAGATAATCTGGAATCACTACTGTTCCTCCAGCAAGCTCCATGCTCTCCTACCCCTCCACTGTGAGTACCCAGCCCTGAGTCCCACCAGAAGTCATCTCAGCATCTCTGAAGACACCTCATCCCTGCCTCTCTCCAGGCACACACCGTTCTGCCCTGTGTGACACTTTGCCTCTCCTTCTTGCCTGTGAGCAACTTGAGGGTTGGGATGGTGGGTTTTTGCAAGGGAGCAACTGTTCTCAGGTACTTAGTGTGGGCTCGGTACTGCACAGGTGCACTGGACAGGGCTGTCTGTGTTCATTCAGAACCTATTTCCCCTTCTTTTGGTAACAGCCTCTAGATTTTTCTTTGAGGAACCACCCCTCACCCACATAAAGCACGTGTGGTTTGGGTAGGGCTGACCCACCACCCCCTGGTTCTTAGGGAGTCCTGTGTCTCAAGCCTGGTTCACCTGTATATTCCACACACTATCTCCCTGCCACAGCGACTGGCTTAGGAATGGACATCAGCCCCAAGTCTAATCCCAGGATTTTTGCAGATCTGAAGGGAAGAGGGAAATTGCCTGGGTATAAAGCCAATATAGGAGAGAAATGAGCAGAGAAAATAAAGACTGGGAGTCCATGAGCAAGCTGACGGCACCAGATCCAGCTGTGCCAAGATACACCCATGTACTTTTCAGTTGGGGAAAATACGCCATTTTTGCTTAAGCCAGCATGAGTTGAGTTTCTGTCACAACCAAGAGTTCTGATTAGATAGTGGATCCCCTTGGTGGGATGGGTTGAGGGTAGAACTGTAAGGGAGCATGGGCAGAAAGAGCTTCTAGGGGCTGGTTATGCCCTGTTTCTTGATGGAGGTACTAAGTACATGAGCATGTTCAACTTGTGAAAAGTCACTTTTTTTTTTTTTTTTTTTTTTTTTT